CCACACTCATAACTAACATTCTCCTTGTAACATGCGATTCATCCCTCCTCATAACATGCCCATACCATGCTAACCTTTTACGGTTATTTAAACAAATTCTAAGCAACAAGTCTCTAGATGAAAATAAAAAGTGTTTATCTTGTTGCAGTAACGCCCCCCCGTGGCACAAGGGCGCGTCTGATTAGACGAAAGCTATAAACGAATTACAGAGATATAAAACATCTAGATCAGGTCAAATAAAATTACGTAAGATATTTTCGCTGCTGGACACTTTACTTTTATCTTAATAAAGTGCTGATTGTATTAGATCATTGATGTTTGAAGCATTAAGGACTTTAACGTGTAAAGAAACGACGAGGGAAAATTTCTGATACAAGGAACTACTCAGAATTTTAATTGACAGGGTAAACATAGCTACAAACATACGATACTAAAACAGCACACTTCTTAAGGCGGTTTCCCAGCTCAGTTAAACTATTCGGTAATGGTTTTGGTTCGATAACTCCATGAAATGCGTTTCCGAACTACCTAACTTGAGTTTTACTCTATTCAAACTAAGTTCAACTTAACACTAATGGAATAAGTAACGATAAAAAATTGGAAACTTCTGAAACCCAGCAAAATACACTTTTTTTTATTATTTGTTAAGCTAGCGCTTGACCACGATCCCACCTGAAGGAGGTGACGATGCAGTCGAAAGATGGTACGAGCTAGCGTAATAGGTAGTTGTTCACTCTCCTTTTGAAGGCCCCCACGTCATATTTGGACGGGAAAACTGATGCCGGCAACATGTTCCAATCCTTTGCAGTGCGCACAAGGAATTACATTAAATACATTAAATTAACTAAATAAATGTAGGCTTTATTCACATGTCTAGTATCGATTCGTTTTAGTACAATTGGAAGACTTCGTTGAAATTTAAAATTTATCTTAACATCAATATTGGTGCTATTCTCTATCCATAACAGAATGTATTTTTTTTTAATTGAAGATTATTGTATATTATAAAATAATTAACTCTTCTAGTGGTTTAACATCTTTGATGTATTACGCCCTGTCTCTAAACTAACCACGAACTTTATTAACCTTGTTTCGACACTTTATTGTGACGTAAAAGTATACGTTAGTTTGTGTTGCTTTCTTGTGGCAAGAAGAAAATTGCAAACCTTATACTCTACAATAAACACTTTTATATTGCAAGTAAAATGTTCGTCGGACATTTTATATCCTTGATATTAAGTCAAGATAAAGATAAATCTTAATCAAAAGTCTTGCTAGAATTTCGTTTTATTCAAACTTCTTATATCGTGTAGTTTAACAATTGTATTGTAAGGGTACACGTCTTTCCCAGACAGCCTGTAGAAAGAAAATGATGACATGGTTAATGTAAATGCATCGCCAGTGTAAACTAACTGTTATACATACATTTTATATTATGAATCAGCAACAAGAGTTCTGAAACTATTAAGGTAAAGTGGGACGATGATAGATCGGACATTTCACCTTCACCCCATTTAATATTACAAGGTGAAGAAATACATTGCATTTATGTTTTCGTAAAAATATATTTTACATGCTAGTAAACCAGTGCAGTAAATGGCACTGGCCGGTACGAATACAATGCGTATAGTTCAGTAAAAATAAAAAGCAGTATGAGACAAGACATCAGAGTCAAATTACGTACCCCCCCTGGACTCGACACTCTACGAGCCAGTACCTAGCTTCAAAGTTAGCGTGCACACATTCCAGCTACTTGCAAGTGTCTCCCCGGCTCACATTAAAAATTATTATATAAATTGATGGTCAACATTCATAATTTGACAGTGGTAGAGCCCGCTTTAACATCTTAGCATGAATGGGCCGGAACGCCCGGTGTAATACCACGACCACGCAGAAGACATTCGTGAAATGGAAGAAATTCCGTTTTACGTCTGATGAGTGTGGTGCCGGAGGCCTAATTTAAGTCCCTTTCTCTTTACCACCCTTTTCTTATAAGGAAGGGGAAGTGGATTTTACGGAGGAGATGCATAGGAAAGGGAAATATCCTCTTTATGTGCGTCTCCTACTGTGTCGGGCAAGGGTAGGAAACGCATCTGCAATTGCGGATGTCTACGGGCAGTCGCTTCGCCGTTTTGGCGAATTCAAGTGGCCGCTTGCTCATTTGCCACCTTATGTTATAAGAAAATGCTTATATTATTATATTGATCGTGATATTTTTAAACTGCTAGTCAACGTTTTTAATTACAACTTTTTACTAACATTTTAATTATGAAAGTACACTATTTGAAAAGCGTAATATTCCCGAACACCCATCCTACGCGAAATACAAAATAAAACTGAAATAACTCATGAAACAATTTTGTGAAATATTTATTTAAAACGGAATCCGCGCAAGTGAAAAGAGACATGTGAAATTGCACTATGAATTTCACGAAGAACTGTAATTAAAATGGAAAGCATTTCAATACGTTTTAGTAAAATGAATTAAATTTCAACATTTCCG